AATATTTCGGACTAGCAGGAAGTTTGTTGTTACACGAAATGTTATATGGAACCCATTGCTCCTGAAACTTCACCAGTATATAATTGTTACCTATCTAAATTGGAGACCAAGTTCAGATCCAATTTATCACTTACTGTTTATTGCCAGAATGTTTACCGTGTAAAGCTACGTTGCACAATGTAAAAATTTAGTGTAACATTTTAGATCTCAACAATTATATGAATGAATGAACATAGCATTTCGGATTCGGAAATTATTATTATTATTATTATTATTAAGAGAAGCAATTTTATTTTAACAATGGAGAAGCTAAATTTATCTATTTTGAGGGGCTTGTACTAAAAAAAAAAAATTATTTGAAACTTTATAATTTAAAGAAATTATTTAAACTTATAATTTTTTCTTTCTGACATTATTAAGGATTGAATAAAAATTAAAATGTTTCGAGACCATTTTTATCTGAAATATTAATATTTCAAATTTTTTAAATCAGGTTTCCTTTTTAGGATAATACATACATTTGGGACTTCGGGCTATTTGTTGTACATTAATCGCGTATTATTTGACGTATGGATCTTTGCGACATTAGATTAGTAATTGGAATAACAAAATTTTAAATGAAACTCTCTTATATGTCCCGTACATCCGTTGTTTACTAAAATATGGAGGCAAACATGTGTGTGAATCGTAAATTCATATAGATTCCATAGGTTCATGCATCACTTAGAATAATTATTGGGGTAGAATGATTATGGTTGTTGTATAAATCGCGTTACAGCGAATAATAATAATAAAATCCTATATTTCCCCCTTTGGCGTTTTTTATATTGCCCTATTGGAAAAGAAAACATGGTTATTCTATTTTTTATATAAGATGTTGTTTTTTTAAACTCTTGTCCGTTAAAAACGGACAAGAGTTTAAAAAAAAAAAAAAAAAAAAAAAAAAAAAAAAAGTTACACAAATTGTTTTTAGATTTTCCGCTTAGCAATGAACAACTTGCCTCGAGAGCTGCTTATTGAGATCTTCAAGCGCATTGAAAGTCCTATTTCAATGATCCTTGTTAATAAAGAATTTTGTCGACTTTTCACTAGTCCCGTAGCAAAATCTTTATGGGCTCTGAATAACTTTGGAAGGATCCATGTATTATTCTTTTCCATTTTACTAGGGAAAACTTTCATTACAGTTGATGTTGTGAAATCATTATTAGCGTTAAAAGCAAATTTATCTAGATATTTTATTCAGAGATTATTACTACAATATGGTCAATGTGATAAAGATTTGATTAAATTAAAATTACAAGATAGTAACAACTCTCAAGAAATAAATCAAGAAAAATTTAGATTTTTTCGTATCAAATCACCATGGTCTTCGGAAATACCATTTGAAGTATTTGTTACTTTATTAAATGAGGCTGATGCAAGGTTTGAAGCAGATTTAGCTCTAAAAGGAAATGATATTGAAAAATTTCATTTTTTAAGCTCTGGGCAACTGCCAATTGATCACGCATCCCAAATGATTAAGACAAGCTTGAAAGATATTCGTGATCTTATTATCAATAAAAAGTTTACTCCCTTCCCTCCGAGACCAAAAATTAAATTTGAAGACACTAATGAATATTTCAGAACAATGCAGATAATCAACCAGGAGAAATTTCCAGCAAATGATGGCTATGAAAATAATCGACATCTACACATCATTGCACGAGCAATTTTGTTAGAACCTAGTATTGTTGATATGTGGAAGGAGATAGGTTACTATGAGATTTGTAGAGATGTTAACGATTTGGTGATCCAAGGGTGTATTCTAAGACTTTTTCCATTAAATACTCCTGTTGATTGGCATGATCCAAATAAAAAAATAGTTGTAAACCAATTGAATAGTCTCATTGGTATTGGATTCAAATTAACAAGAGCTGCAATGGTCAACAGTTTATGTTTTTGCAAAAGTCGTCTTGATATAATTGGTGATTCTGTTTTGATAGAATCTTTTTGTGAAGTCAGAAAAGAGTCAAGATATGTCATAATTCAAAAATGCTTGATTGAAATCACTCAAGTTGACAGAGAAGTGAAAAATGATTATAAGGTTTTGGACTTTTTGAGTCATGGTAGAAATGGATCTGAATTAGAATTTATATTTTTGAAAACAATCATTTATCATTTTTTTGATACAGAAACTAAAAAAGGATTTGACAATTTGGAGATTTCAATTATTCAATCTAAACCGAATTTTAGAGAAAATTATGTCAGTATAAGTGGACAAGTAAAGCTACCTAAAAAAATAGAAGATTCACAACCATCATTCTTATCATCTTCGTCATCAATTTATCAAAACCCCGTTGGCAACAATTATTTCATTCATCAAGACACTGGAGACAATAATTTCATTTATGAAATTGGTGACAATTATTTCGTTGCAAAAGACAAAGATGATAGTAATCTTTCATTTGTCCGTGGCTTTAATTCATTTATAAAGGAAGAAGATAATGATGATTATTTTACCATCATGTTAAATCATTACCAAAGCTTATTATATGATAATTTCAAAAAGATTATAAATTCAGATATTGATAATCCAATAAATTGTATAAGGACTCTTACTCTAAGAAGCTCCTTTTATGAATGGGTATTAAAAAAATTTAATCAAAATTCAATTGTTACAAATTTATGCTTCCATGATATTATTTTGTCCAAAGTGTGGGCGGATATGGAAATGCAACACCACCCTGGGGGGAAAATCACAAGTATTAGAGATGACGCATATGAAAAGATTCTGTCAATCTATGCCTCATATTGCAAACACCATGTACCATTTGAAATTTCTCATTTGAAACTGTTAAGAAAATCAAAGGAGGTCACTACATTGAAACCTTTTTTTGAAATATTTTTGCCAAAGATTTTCAACATCAAGCCAACATACCAATATGAATCCGATGATGAAATAAGAAAAGATGATAATAGTGATAATAATAATCAGTTGAACAATATGGTTTCTGAGAAATGGCTTCGTGAATTAAAGAAAGAATATAATCATACACCCGAAGCTACCAATTTATTCAAAGATAATGTCATTATGATATGTAATCGTATTAATAAAGAAAAAGGTTAATATTACCAAATTTGGTCTTAAAAAGATAATTTGAATTCTTGAAAAAGGTAGTGATATTGATTTTAAACTTTCTAATTACATATATATATATATAATATATTATTGATCTAAAAAAATTTATTGTTTCCCTATTTTGATTTTGTTGATTTTGTTTTTCTACAGTTAGTTTTATCAACAAACATTATTATATTTTATTATTCATTTTATTATCAATAATACTATATTATGTATATTTCTGTTGAGATTTTATTTTATCTAGATTAAAAGCTAGTATAAAGAACATTCATTTTATCACTTGTGACAAAATCGAATGGTGATTTTTTTTATGTTGTAAAACCTGCACATGACTGTGCACAGATAGCTTTATTTCTTTCGAACCAATTGAACCATTTAATATCAAAAGTTATATATTAGAAATGAAAGTTTAAGGTTTTAGATCTAAGTACCTTTAATATTAATAATAATCTTTTTATTTATTTATTTAATAATACACACAAAATTACTACCAACTATTTATTGATTCTAAATCATTTCTAACATTCTTTCATCTTCATTTACTTTATCTTCATCAGATAATAAATTGTTACTAATAAGATTATCTTTTTCTAATCTATTTATATAATTTATACAGGATTTTACATCACAGAAATACACTTTTTATAAAACTTTAAACAACAATTGCATCAATTATTTTTCTCTGCGTAGCATCTATGATGGTAGGCATGACACATATTAACAATTATGCCTTCGTGTTCATCTTCAACTTTAAATTTTTGATTACAATAGTTGCAGACATTATAAGATGGTAGGTCATCTATAATCATTAATTGCTTATAGTAACAATTGGTCAACTTCAAAATACTAAAACAAAAAAAAAATTATATCATTTTAAAAAATTTAACCGATAAGTTTTATTGTTCATGACTCAAGCTTCAAAACTTATCGGCTGGTTTTTTCTTAAACTGAAAATTGGCTGAGCCTTAGCATTTTGAAAATTCCGAATTTTGTTATACACTTAAGAAATTGAGCAAGTAAATTTCGTGTAACAACTTTTTTTTCATACATTTGATTTATTTATTTATTTCCTTTTTTTTAATAAATAAATAAAAGTTCTTTACAACAAAGAAGTTTAACGAACATCTTACATTAAAAGAAAATCATTATCAAATTTGGTCGTGAGATTCAAAATATTGATTTAAAAAATCTATGAAAAAGAAAATTTGAGACGATTTTTTTTTTTAGATTAATAGACTCACTTTTTAAAGCTGGATTGAATGGTGGTGGGTTTTTTAAAATCCAATGCGTGGATCACATAATATTTCAAAAATTTTAACTTTTGAGTATAGATGATCTGTACTGTATAAAGTTATGGTATCCAGCTGGTAAGCATTTTAATTTACTCTTTTATCTAATGTTGCAAATTGGTATTGATCTTTTTACTTGGAAAAAATAGCCCCGATGGAAATGAAGTTTAAAACCTAAGTTACATTTCCATCTAAATTTTAATATATATCTTAAAAATTTCAGACTTTTTTATCTTTGAAAGCAAAACAAGTGACTTCACAACTGAGAAAAATGAACTGGCGGAAATGAAGTTTAAAGACCTGAGCTTTGTTTCCATTGGCCGAGTTGCGGAGGTTTGGGATTTTAAGAATTCCATTCGTTTTCATGATAATTTTTAATAACCAATTTCAACTATGACGTGGCTATTGGGAGCTGCGCAATTATATGCAATGACAATAATAATAAGCATAGTAATAGTAATCATAATAACACAGAATCTTTTATTATTAGTACTACCGAGGAGTTCAAGGTTCATCACGTTGTACATAACCTTTTAAACTTTAATTGGAGTAATTGGAGTAATTAATCCTCGACGTAAAACCATACTTCTCTAATTGTTCTCTTTTTGCTTTTTTTCATTATCCTCGCTGATTATTGTTGTCTGTAATTGGCTCATCTCATTTTCCAAGTTACTTATTTCTCTATTTTTTTCATTCAATTGTTGATGTAAACTTTTGATTTCATCAACTAGATTTTGATAATCATTTTGTAAATTGTTATGTTTGCAATTGATTTTTTTAATAGTTAGTTGTTGAATTAGATTATCTATCATTTGTTTCTTGCTCAACCATTGCTTCCCTTTCAATGGCTTGTTTCGGCTCTTCATTTTCTTCAATTCGTTGATTAATCTTTCATCTTAATTTTAAGTTTTCGTCAAACAATTCATTTCTTCTTTGGGCACTCTCACTATCTAACTGTCTTTTATATCAGCCATCCAATGTTCTTGTTCAATAGCCAATTCTTCTCTTAAATTTTCAATATAATCTTCTACCACCTTTTCTCCCCTTCAACTCTTCACGTCTCCATCCTTAAATACCTCCAACCATTCATCAGCTTTTTCCAACTTCTTTTTTGCATCCTATAATTCTTGTTTAATTCCTTTGATTATCGGGTGACTAGAAAAAGACAGGGTGCAGAAATTGTGGTTGGTGTCTGTCCCTTGTCCTATTCAATATTTGTATATGAGATTTAGAAAAGGTAGTTTACGATAAAACATAGTACTTGCATGGGAGGAAATATTCAGACCCAAAGCCATTGTGAGTATTGGGCACTCTGACAAAAATCTAACTTTCACTATTACTATTGATATTCTTTTTATTATTATTGTTTGTATCCTCTTTGTTTTCATTCCTTATAAAATCATTGAAAATGCTTTTTCTTTCAGGATTAGTTTTTCGTTGATAGAAATTTTTAATAGTAGAAGCAGCAACTCCCTTTCCCTCAAGTAATTTATCAGCATTTTACTGAACAAAAAATCTGGATTCAATTCTGTCTTTTTATTAAATAATTATTTGAAATCTTCCAAATTTTAACCAACCAGTTTACTTTACTAATTTTTTGATTTATATTACAAAGCTTGTTGTAATTTTTATGATGAGGAAAAAGAATAAAGAAAAGTCCAATTAATAAGCCACAGATAAATTCAGTGGTGAAGATAAGCATGTTTGTTAAATGGGGTTTTTAAGAAAAAGATTTTATTTAATTGAAAAGATAATTTTATTTTTTAAATTAATAAAGATGATTCCAGATTTTATTTTACAATTGTAAGTATGGAACCTTTTCCAAAAAACAGCCTCCGAGGTCATCTGACCAAATTTGTTGTGTTTTTACATAATGTTAATAAAGATTATTATATAACTGGCAAAAATAGTACAAATTTTATTTGATTATTAAAAGCTTTTTTATTTTTAAAAACAAAATCGTTTTCTAATAATGACAAACAATAACAACAAAGTATTTATCCAGCTCAAAGGCTACTATGCATAGGATTACCGTAAATACGTAATTCGTAATTATTACTTTAAAAACATAATTACGAGACTAATTACGGATCACAAAATCGTTTTCTATAAAAACTGTTGTCAACACTACACTGGTTAACCAATATCAAAAATTTTGCTTTATACCAAAGCAAATAAACAAAACCTCAGAGTTCTATACCACCATGATAACCAAATGGACAATTAAACCCTACTGTTTAATTTCCGACTACAAAAGTGTTTTTATAAGAGAAACAAAGAATATACTTATTTATTTTATTATTATGTGTGAAATTATTACCATAAAGTCTTGAAAGATAATGCCCCCTTTTTACAACTGTTTACAACTGAATGAACAAAAATTCATGGAACAGGAGATTTATTATAGAGAACTTTGACTGTACATAGCTTTCTTTTTATTGAGTATAATAAGTACTATTTTTATGATTTTTGACATTTTATAAATTTTATATGTTGTATAATAATAACAAACGCAGTCAATTATTTTTTAAATTAGTAAATGTGCCATGCCAGGACCCCGCAAACTTTATAGATATGTCAGTAACAAAAATTCCTGTTTGTTATATTATTTGACCCAGACCAAAATTAAGTTTAATATATAACTTGACCCTAAGGTTTAAAGCCTGGAACCCGAAAACTTTTTGGACTGTATCAATTATACTTGAGGTCAAAATTATTAAATTGCAATTAAAATTTGCATTGCATCATCACCTATCATAATTTTATACAACTGGCATAAGATGTAATTCGTGATGCAAGTCTCAATTCACGGTGCAAACATGATTCATGGCAATTTATTAGCTAACAACCCTTTTTGGCCATGTAGCATTGATGTTACATTAAAAATTAAAAAATTTTCATGCAATAAATAAAGAGTTTTATATGTGGTTAAAGTTTGAATTAATTCATACACACATCATGATTGTGTCTTGTGTAGTAATGGTAGCTGAAATTATTTTACCAAATCTGAAATAGTTTACCTATAGAAATTAGGAATTTAGGCTTCTAAATTAGTGATGAAACTTAAAATTACCTAAACTATGGGCAAACTCCTAAACTGTGGTTAAATTGTCAAACCTATGACCAAAGTTTTATGATAAATAAAACGGATTTATCGAAGTGCCGTCCAAAAGTATTAGTATGCCGGACATGTGATCTATATAGTCTGTATTTTGATTAATATTTTATATTTGCATTTTTATTATTTATTTATATATTTATTGAAAAGATTATGATTATCATTAAAATAATGTCATTTTTTGACCTAATTCGTTTTGCAATAATAAAACGAATCGATTTTTTTTGTTAAATAAAACACTTTTGTGGTCGGAAATTAAACAGTAGAGTTTAATTGACTGCTTGGTTTTCACCCGCAGTTTAGGTTTCGCCAACTTCGCCGCAAAATTAGGCCTAAACTATGGTTGGTTCCGTATTGCATCACGAATTGCCTTGAATTACGTCTTGCGTCACGAATTGTGTCCTACATCTCTTGTATCATTAATTGTGTTTTGCGTCACGCATAAACCACTATAACTGTTTCGCCTTTTATATTTAATTAATAATTATTATGTATATCACAAAATTTTCTTATCAACCCGAAATCAACCCCGAACCCGACCCTATAAAAAATTTAGGTACGGAAAATGTATGGAAAATTGTACGGAATTTGTACGGGAAAACAGTACATGAACCGTATTGTTTTACGGAATGGGTACAGAATGGGTACGGAAAAATGCACGGAATCTTCCTGTTAAAGGCGCCGAAATGTACGGAATTTGTGCGGGATAGATACGGAGTAGGTGCGGAATGCGTACAAAACACGCACGGGATACACGTGGTTTTTACGGAAAACATACGGAATTAGTTAGCACATCACGTAATCCATAGCATAGTGCACGGGTCGAAATTTTTGATTTTGACAAAGATAAATTTAGTTAAAATATTATTAAAATAACATATTTTTCTAATTTT